TACAGGCATGTTCAACCATAAATGGTTTTTGCAGTGCTAGGGACAGAATTGAGGACTTTATGCATACCAGGCAAGTACTCCACCAATGGAGTTACTTGACCAGCTCCTCAGATCAGAAAGATTTAGATCTGCATTCATCTTACTGTCAAATCGGCTTGATATAATGAGACTTTTGTACAGCTCGTAAGTATTAAATATCTCTTTCCCTCATTGAATCAAGGGACATAAACAGGGTCAGTTCTGGAAGAATAAAACAGAGAAGTTGGCATTGGGATGGAAGGCATCCAAGGGATCAGCTCACAGATTCTGAGATGACGCTAATGCTCTTTTCTAGAAAATAATCAAAGATTTACAGCATAGGCCAGCAGCCCTGTGCCTGCTGTTGGCCCCGCATCCTTTGTTTATGCTTGTGGAGACTGCAAGAAGCCACTGCAGCTATATGTTCCGCAGCCCCAATAGTGTCCAAAGGAGTTGCAGAATGGAGTAGTGAGAACACAGTTCTCTAACCAAAACACCTACAGCTCTGACCGGCTGAGGAGATGGATGATTCCTGTTGTTGCAAGGACATACTCCTTGGGCAAAAATCCTGGACTCCTACACAGGAGACAATGAGTGAGTGTGTGTGCATTCAAGAACAAATCTGCTACCCAAATCACATGGATAATTTTTCTTAATATTCTTAAGACAAAGTTTCTCTCTTTTAAAAATAGTCTGCACATTATTTTTTCCAGTGGTCTAACGTTTTACTTCAAAATTTTGCAAAAAATGTGTGATTCTATCATGGACACTGCCTTTTCGTTCTGTGTTGGGGGAAGATTTTAGGAGTAGAGCTTCAGTAAACTTCAGAGCCCATGCAAGTTTAAACTAAGGCTGGCTTAGTGCGGAGGCAATGGACACACCCTACCACGGCTTTAGAACCTGCTTACTGCATACGGATATTTCAACTCTTCTTGCCCCAAGCAATCCCTCACAATGGTGTGCAGACTAGAACACTTTTACACCTTTAAGGTGTAACCATAATTCTCTAAGCTGACCTGGCTATGTGTCAATCAAAACTGAAACTGAAAGATAGCTCTTAGGGCAATCTGCTTATTTTAGAGACATCTTATCCTCTGCTGGTTGTTCACAGTACATGGTGAACTTAACTCACCTTAACTTGTCTTGTTTCTATGGAAAGGCCTTCACCTTATAGTCAGGTCATCCTGTTACATTTCAGGGAAACCAATGGGGGAAAAAATCTGTCATTTTCTTTTTTTTTTTACTTAAATTTTTTGTATTTATTATGATTGTGTCTGTGTATGTGGTAGGGGGTGTGCCACAGCAGGTGTGTGGAAAGTCAGGAGGAAACTTTGTGGAGTTGGTTCTGTCCTTTTATCTGTATGTGGGTTCTGTGAAGCAATCTCAGGTTGCCAGTCTTGTGAGGCAAGTGCCTTTTACCCATTGAGCTATTTTACCAGCCTTGTCATTAAAAAAAGATTTTACTTTATGTGTATGAGTGTTTGGTTACATGGTATGTATACCATGTGTGCCCCCAGAGGTCAGAAGAATGCATCACATTCCCTGGAGCTGGAGTTACAGACAGTTGTTAGACACCGTATGGGTACTGGGAACCAAGCCTGGGTCCTCTGCAAGATCAGCAAGTGCTCCTAACCACTGAACCATCTCTTCAGCCCCCGTCATTAAAAAAAATACTTTATTTATCATTTTTATTTTATGAGTATGAATGTATTGCCTGCATGTGTGTAAGTGTACCTGTGCCATACAGTATCCACAGAGGTCAGAAGAGAGTGTCAGATCCCCTGGAACTGGAGTTATAGATGGTTATTAGCCACCACCATATGGGTGCTGGAAATCAAACCTGGGTCCTCTGCAAGAGCAGCCAGTGCTCTTAACTGCTGAGCCATCTCTCCAGTCCCCTCCCCTACCATTTTTTAAAAGAGTAATTTATAAGCTTTTTCTTAACTCTTATAGTTGATCATGTAAACATCCTGAACTGACTTCTGAGGGCCCGAGAGCTGACTGTGATCTGCTTTAAATGTAGTGCAGGACTCTGCTATTACAGTCTGCCAGTTAACATCCCTTTGGGTTCATTTTTCCACCCTGCTTTTTTCTTTTGCCCGAACTTCTCTGTCCAACTTTGCATTATAGCATGGATGGTCACACTATCAACCTCTCTTTTCTAATTCTTTGCTAATTTGATCCAGAAAGCTGGTGATATCTTTAAAACTGACTACTTGGGCTTCATTTGGAAGGGTATATTCTGCCTAGTTTTTCCTTTTCCTTTGTCTTCACTTTACTGTTGAGTGCTGGCCTCTCTATTCTCCAGCATGCCAAACTTGCTGGCCCCTAAGCAGCTTTTAGCATCTCTGCTTAGAATACCTGTTTCCCCAGGATGTAACCTACAGCACATACTGTACACTAAAGCTCTCTCATCATAGCATGGGCCCCTAGGACATGGTAAATTATAAAACCATCCAATTTCTGGTTTGCTTTAGGGCAGCTAAGTCTATATAGAAAACACTGCACAGTGGTATGCTGAAAGAAATTACCACACAGCATCTTCCAACGAGTGTTAGGTTCCTACTGTTAATCTTTGCAACACTCCTGTGTAAGGAGCCAGGGGCAAATTCTCTCATGCCAACTGTTCACAGATGAAGGAATAGGGCAGCTCAGTGGGGCAGGCCTGAATTGTGCAGGGAGGTAGAGAGAGTATGAATCTGAAGCCCCCCCCCCCCCCCAAGAATCCTTCCACACGCTGCCTCAGTACTGGCAACTTCTATCCAGGCTTCAGCCTGTACTCATGCAGATTTGTCTCTGGTGGAACTGTCCAACTTTTCACAGACAAGTATAGGGTTATCCACTGCTCCTTCCACTTAGCCCAGCACACCAAGGCAAACAAACTCCAGGCCTGTAGACATAGGGTACTCAAAAGGTAGCTACTGCTCCTCTCTGGCTGAGATCCTCTCCAGGTCAGTTTGGGTTGTTTACTTGGCTGAGAGCACTCAATGTACGAACCAAAGATAAGGAGATGGTAACACAGGCTGTGACATTAGCTTAGTATCATACAGTTGTGTATAATTATCTCTGCTTTTATCTTTGGGGTTTTGTTTCATTTGTTGTTAGTGTTTTGTTTTATTTTGTCTTGCTTTGTTTTGTTTTGAGACAGAGTCTCACTCTGCAGCCCAGGCTGACCTCAAACACTCCATCCTCTTGCCTTAGCCTTCCAAGTACAGGGATTACAGGAGTGTGCTACCACGATAGGTAAGTACTATTGAATGCAGTCAGTGACTAATCTCCTATATCATGGTCTACTGTTTGTAGAACTAACATCCAATATGTAACAGTAAAATACAAATGGGTGAAGATGAAAAAGAAAACATAGCAAGTTATTAAAACAGAACAAGTGATCAAATGTATTGTAAGCTCTGGAATGAGTTCATTTTTCATGTGCTTATCAAAGTCTCTCCTTAGGAATAAAAATGACTGCTTTGAATAGATTCCTATGTGTCCAGAAACCTAAAAGCTAGAAACCCAAAACCTCGGTTTCTGTGCAATGCAAGGATTTATGCTAAACATGATGAACTGATGTCTAGGGAGCACTCAATAGATGCCAGGCACGGTGCAAAAATGCTTTATATACATCAGTTCATCTTAGTACTTATGAAAATGGGGGTACGTCTCTCCATTTTACAGGAGAATTAAGGCCATTTCAGAAAGGTTAGTTTCCTGGGATCACTCGCTAAGAAACCATTACCTGGGTTTGAATCCAGGTTCTTTTTTGATCCCATGAAAGTGACTCTCAAGTTCTGCAAGGCGCTGGAGTGTCTTCTGAATGACCAGGTGAAAGTTAACATGTGCATCAACTAGTCACTGCATGGTCTTCATTTCTGTTTAAGTTTTGCAAGGAAAAAAAAACTACTTGACTGAATTAACAGATGAGATGCATAGGTGTGAGGGATATTGGGAGGGCCAAATAAAATCCTGACTGTGGGACCTTTGAAAACTACAAAACATTCTGTCAAATAAGGCATAAGGATGACACGTCAATGAAAACGGCAGGCTGCAGGTGATGTGATAATTTTCAGCTGGCCTGCTATATAGTCCAAAACATCTGCTCACCCAGCCCATGTGCACACCTGTAGTCTGTGACCAAACTACCTTCTCTCTTTTGTGGCCTGAGCCACAGAACACAAAACTGCTAGTGATTGAGCAAACAACTTCGTGTTTTTCTGCCTTACTTCTGGGCCAGGATAACTTCCTTGGTCTTGTGGTTCACATTTCTATTACGAATTTCTCTTAAACAAAAATATTAAATTGCAGTAGCATTCAGATGCGATTGGGGTCTCTTCCTGATTTCCGTGTTGTCCATAAACACGGCCTCGGGAACTGGCTGGTTGATGGACAGGTTGATTCTGCAAGCCTCCCACGTGGCAACAAACGTCTCCTGTGATCCCCAAGGCCACGCGGCCCCCAAAACTTAGGGACCCCAGGTTTCTCCAGTAAGTCCCAAGGCCACGTGACCCGAGTTGTGTCCCGCGGTTCTCCAACGTGTTTTTCAGCTCTGATGTGTGCGGTGTGAAAAGTTATGTGGAAGTGGCCCTGGACACTGCGATATGAAACTCAGAACCACCCGGTGAGAATTTCTCGTTTGATCAGAACTTCAGGTAGGAAGAAAACCGTGGCAAGGTTTATGGAGGAATGAAACTCCTCTGAGAGAGTTTGATGAAGACTGCCCTTTATCGCGAGTGCTGTTTCACGTTTGGAAGGGCCGTGTGGGGAGCCCTGTGGCCTTTCCACCTCTCCTTCCTCCACATTGGACTAGAAAAAAAAACTGGGACAACGGAAAAGCACCGCGAAGGTCCTCAAGGGCGAAGGGCAAACATTAGCTTGACCCTGGGCTATAGAAGTTAACTGACAACAAGAAGGAAGCTTATTAACCCCGCTCCTCTTCGCTCCCCGGGTGACAGCAGGCAACTCCTCCTTCTAGGCGTGTGACCTTGGTGCAGAAATGCAAACGAACGAGCGCCTGCTTCCTCATCCTTCCCTTCTCTCTCAGAGGAGGAAGAGGGAAGAGCGGAGGGCGCCACCCCAAGTCAAGTCCAGACAGTTTGGGACTGCGGTGTGAATGTCTGGAAGAGACTCCCGGGACTGAGCTTCCTCGAGCTTGCCGGGCACGCAGGTTCTCCTTTGACGAGCTTGACTCGCAGCGGGATCCCGCAGTCTTCGTGCGGCGCAGGTGGTGCAAACGCCCCTGCTCTCTCGCGCCCCCTGCTGGCAAAAGGGAAGGCGGCGGCGGAGCCGCAGGGCACAGGGCAGGGACCGAGCGCCGGCTCTGGGAAGAAGAGAGCGTCCCTGATGGTGCCGCGGCCTCCTCCGAGTCGGGGAGGAGCGGCCAGGGGGCAGCTGGGCAGGAGCCTGGGGCCGCTGCTGCTGCTCCTGGCGCTGGGACACACGTGGACCTACCGAGAGGAGCCCGAGGACCGCGACAGGTAAGGGCCACCAGCCCCAGCGGAGGACGCGCTCCGTGGGCGCCGGGCTGGCGGGGTGCGGGCTGTCCCCTGTCGCCGATCCGCAGGTCCCGGCTCGCAGGGACACCGGCAGGGTGCTCAGCTGCCCGTGCGACTTCCAACTCCGCTGGCGGGAACAGCCTCGGCGCTCCAGGCTGCGTTCCGGACGCTGGCTGTCCCCCGCCCTGCTCCTGTGCCCAGCTTCCCTAGAGCTCCTTGTCGCTTGAGACTGGGATTGCCTGGGGCTGGGACCCTCTCCTGGCTCGTCCCTGCCGTCGGAGTCCCCTTGGGGACCAGTGGCAGCCCGGTGCGCCTGGACGCGGCTCCCAGCGTGCACACTGCACAGTCCCCGTGACCTTCAACCAAGTTTCCTCTCCGACTTGTGTTTTCGTAGAGAAGTCTGTTCAGAAAACAAGATCGCGACGACCAAATACCCGTGTCTGAAGTCTTCAGGGGAGTTGACCACGTGCTTCAGGTAAGACTGGGGTTCTACCGAGTCCACCCAGCTGGATGGGCAGGCGCGCCGCTGCAAAGCAGGACCCCTGGCTGCGTTTGTGCTGCGGGGTGCTGGGTGCACGCTCCTCGGTGCCAACCCTTGTGTGCTCATGGGCAAGAAGGAGCAACTGAGTTTGCCTACAGTGTGTGCAGGAGATCTGTACTGCTTATTGAAAAACTTGTGCGGTGGTGGAGGTCGGAGAGAAAAAGTTTGCAAGGGGAGTGGATCGGACGGTGGATGTCCACAGTGGGCCATTGTGAAGACGGATGGCTACCCTCGCATTTGCATTTTGTTTTGAAAATACAGTCAGCAACAAGGAAATACTTGGCACTTGGCTGGCTTTTGACCTTGTACTTGCTAGGACAGAATGTATCCCTGTCACAGTCTCTGTGAGCAAAACGTCCTATGTGTGTGGGGGGGGCGCGTCAATGGAGTAGTTGCTTTGCCTGAAAAACAAACATCAAAAATGTTGAGACTCAAGGAAAGCCCTGATCTCTCTGAATATACGTTCTTCGGATCTACCTGGGGATTGTCAGTTACCTGGGGTCTTGTTAAAATTAAGCAGGGCATAGGGCCAGGGAATGTAGTTTGAAAATGCTTCCCAGGTGGGTCCTCATCCCAGCAGGGGGTAAAAATGCCGGGGTCCCATCCCCAAGAAGAAAATTTGGTTCCCTGCTTGTAGGTTTTTGGAGTGGAAGGATAATTTGGTTTTTGAATCACTGAATCCTTGATTTCTGTTCCAGTCTCCCAGGGGATATAGGAGACACACGCCCCTAAACATCTATTGGCTGTGTGATTTTTAAAGATTACCATGCAGGCTCTGTGATAACATACCAGACTGAGAACCAGCACTGACTGAGCACCAGGAGGTAACTAGTGTGCAGTGCAAAGTAATAGAAATCTCCAGAATACTTGAAAGAAAGTTTTTCTTTATGCTATGGCTAAGGAACCAACCACAATGCTTTTGGCTGCAAGAAACTTTCTTCCATATACCCAAGGCTCAAGTGGAAAGCAGTTCCAGGGCAAGTCAGTTTAGTACAATCAGCTGTATGGTGCTTTGGCAATGAGAATGGAATGACAGCTATCACACAGTGAATCATTTGTCACCTAAGTGAAGCTCAGCCTGGGAAAGGCTGTCTGCTCCTGCAGGTGAGGGTGTAAGGAGTTGAACACTAGCCTGGACATGAGTTAGTAGAGGATGAAGGGGTATGTTTCATTGTCAGGCAAAGAATCAAAGGTGAATTGGGTGAGCAAGGTCAGCCAGCTGGTGAAATGACTTGGTGGTACCAGCACCTGGTTGCTTCCTGGCTCTGGCCCTGAGTTTCATCCACTTGACCACAGTTATTTCATAGGACATGTTGTTTTCCTATCACTGCTGTATAAAACTTCTGATTTAACATGGAAAGTGTTCCTGAGATGGTTTGCTCATTTGTTCAGTCCCCAAAGGTCAACCGTCACATAAATCAGTGACAGTTACAGAACGCATGCCAGGCTTTCAGAAACCATCGGTGCCTGATGATTCTATTTGTTACGCTCTTGCTGCCAACTTTTCCAGATTTCTTAAAGTAGTATGGTATTTCGCTTACCCTATCTCAACTGGAGACATTAGCCTTTCTTAGCACGTATATAAGCTAACCATTTATCCAATGACTCGGCCTGTAAGATCTAGTGCAGGGGATGCTGTATAAGGGGAAGAGTAAAGAATTTTAATTGGTACAGTGGGAGAAGTTGTTTCAGCTTGAGAAAGTGGCAATGGTCTCCGTACGTGCTAACAGCATTGTTGTTTTGGTTTTTTGAGATAGGGTTTTGTTGTGTGGGCCACTCTGGTTTTGAACTCAAGATCCTATTGCCTCTGCATCCAAACTGCTGGGATTATAGGTATAAATCGCTACTATGCCTGGATGGTATTGTTTATACATTTGTTAATTTCTTTATGGAAATTCTAGGTATATTCTGTTGGCCTTATGCTATTATTTGTTTAGTTTTGTTGTTTGAGAACAGGGCCTTACTCTGTATCTCAGGCTGGTCTCTGGTTTTCAACTCACAGTGATCCTCCTCGTCCAGCCTCCCAAGTGCTGGATTATAGGTGTATGTGTATGCCACCATGCCTGAGTGTTTTTTATAATTTACTAATCTCTAAAAGCAAGTTGACAGTTGCTTTTTTTGGTTTTTGAAGTCAAGGATGCTATAAGACCCTGGGGTGGGAGCTCTGATTGTCCTCATCCTGTAGCCCTTCTTGCATCAATTGTGGCCTGGTGACCGCCATGTCATCGACAGGGTAGACTCTCAGGCCTCTTCCTAGGCCTGCTGAGTCAGGCTCTGTATCTAAATGAGGTGGGTGTTAAAGCTTGAGGAGATTTCCACCCTGGAAATCAAGGACTTTGACCCCAGACATGGTACAAACCCATTTGGCCAGATCCTCAGTGGTATGGAGGCCCCTGCAGTTAACTGAACAGCTAGTGCTTTCTGGTGCATTAGCCCTGAGAGGAGAGGCACCAAAAGCCTGTGGGGAAGCACACTCGTCCAGGGTTCTCCTCAAGTTATAAGCACCCTGGTGCTACTGCCTGGGACCCTTCAGAGCAGGGAAAAGTCTACTCTCTCCCTGGTGTCTGGTGGATGATTTTCAGCACAAACGAAAGGACTCTGAGCTCACTGAAGGGATCTGTTTTTATTTTTATTTTTATTTTGTGTGTATGAGTCTATTGCCTGCGTGTATATAAGTGCACCCATGTTGTGCAATGCCTGAGGAGGACAAAAGAGGGCGTCGGATCCCCCTGGAACTAGAGTTACAGATGGTTGTTAGCTGCCATGTGGGTGCCTGGATTTGAACCTAGGTCCTCTGCAAGAACAGCCTTAACCACTGAGCCAGTCCCCAAGGTATCTTTTTGTTTATTTATTTTAAAATTGTATTTATCATTTTTATTTTATATGTATTGCCTGCACCTGTGTCGTACAGTGCCCATGGAGGTCAGAAGAGGGTGTCAGATCACCCTGGAACTGAAGTTATGGACAATTCTTAGCTGCCATGTGGGTGCTAAGAATAGAACTCTGGTCCTCTGCAAGAGCAGCCAGTGCTCTTAACCACTGAGTCATCTCTCCAGCCTGGGATACGTTTTTTAGAGGTCCTTGTTGGTACGGGAAGTAGATAAGATACTAAAGAGAGTACAGTAGAGACATAAATCTGATCTGCCATTGTACTCCAAAATATAATTTAGCTAAGAGGTCGATTCAGAACAGCTATCATCATGGATACCTGTGCTGGATAGCTTTAGTGTCAACTTGACACACCTGGGTTGAGGGATCCTCAATTGGGGAATTGCCTTCATTGGACTAGGCTATGGCCATGTCTGAGGGGCATCTTCTTGATGAGTGATGGGGAGGGCCCAGCCCACTGTGGGTGGTGCCACCTCTGGGCAGGTGGGCTTGTGTTGCATAAGAAAGCAAGCTGACCAGGGGTCAGGGAAGCAAGCCAGTAAGCAGAGTTCCTCCATGGCCTATGCTCCAGGTCCTGCCTCCAGGTTCCTGCCTGAGTTCCTACCTTGGGCTCCCAGATGAACTGTGACCCAGGATATGTAAACTAAATTAACCATTTCCTCCCCATGTTGGTATTGGTCAGAGTATTTTGTCACAGCAATGGAGAGACAAACTAGGAGAAAAATTGGTACCAGAGAGTGGAATATTGCTGTGACAGACCTGACCTTGGTATTTTTAGGAGGATTGTGGAAGCATTCTGAACTTTGGGCTGGAAAAGCCATTGAGTGCTCAGAGTTTGTTGCTGTGGAGCTTGGAATAGTTATGTTGAAAGAGTTGTGGACGATGGAGACCTGGCTTGTGGAGCTTCAAAGGGAAGCAGGATGTTCGTGTAGGATTTTGGATTGAGAATCTGTGGGTCCTAGTTGGCTGGGGCTGAAGAATCAGCTGTGATTAAGACACCAGAACCTGAAGCAAAACTTTGCTTTACTGGGACAATTGATGCTGGTTAGCTGGGGCTGAAAAATCACCTATAAGTAACAAGAGATCAGCATTACTGAGGTGAAAGCTTCTGGCAGGTATTACCTCCGGGTCAGCACACTGAGGGGAACCAAGCCTCCATCTCAAGCTAGAAGCAGGACTTGGTAATGTGTAAGAGTCTCCTTCATGGTTCTGATGTTGAAAGTGTGAAGGGGTCACAGAGAGCAGCTGAGGCTTGGCACTCTGAGAGGCCAGGAAAGGCCATAGGTGAAAGTGCAGCTTCAGTTGCAGTGAAGACCCCAGGATTGAAGGGGTGTCATGGAGAGAATCTGAGGCTTTGCACCCCAAGAGTCAAGAAGAGGACATTGGTGAAGGTGTAGCCTCAGTTTCAGTGGAGACCCCA